GTCAGTTTTGCCTCAAACGTCCGCAGCATGTCGTTGTGCGCCTGCAGGAGAAGCGTCCCAGGGTCACCCCAAAGCCCAGAGGCTCCTCGCGCCCCCCTGGGTGGGAAGGGGACACCCCAACACGCCCGTCCTGAGCTGGGCGACGCGGGGAAGCGGCAGTCTGGGCTTTTCCCTCACCTTGCAGACTCGGGCCAGCTGGAGCTGCAGGTCCTTGATGGCTTCGTTCTTGGAATTGAGCAGGTCCTGCGGAGGGAGAGACGGCGCCTCAGCGGCACAGCGCACGGAGGAGCCGGCCCCGGGTTCAAGCGGAGGCAGCTGGCGGCAGGGCCTGGCCGCCACGCTGTCCCCATTTTGGAGCCAGCCCGTCCCCAGGCAGAGGCGAGGGACAGGGACGTCCCGGGGACGGCAGCGAGCCCTGCCATTGCCGCCCGCCCCCGCCGCAGCACCTGCTCTGGCCGCGCCGCCGCGGCACTGGCGCAATTACAGGGAGCAGCTCCCCGGGGCCCTCAGCCAGGCCGGGACCCGCAGCTGCCGGGAGCTCGACGCCCTCGCGCCTTCCCAGGAATGTGTTTTTCTTCCCGGGAATGCGTTTTCCTTCCCGTTACGGTGCCACCTGCTCCGAGGTGACACCGTCCAACGGCCCCAGGGCAGCCTGGAGAGGGGGGGGGCTGCGGCGGTATGAGGGGACCTGGAGGGGGGACTGGCTGGCGCGGGGACGTCCCCGGCGTCTCCACCCGACCGGCAGCAAGTGCTGCTTCTCTGGTTACGTCTGTGGCAGGACCCCCAGCCTCCAGGCTGAGGCTTTCCAGACATCTTTGGCGCGGCAGAGCCCCGGGGAGCCCGTCTGTGACTCCCCACGACACACCCCCAGCCCGGGGCCATTCTCCTCCAAACGGGCTCCGTCAGCGCCAAATTGCGGCACCCACGCGCTCCGCTCTCCAGGGAGAGCCGGAGGGCCCCTGCGGCCCTGGGAACATCGGGAACGAGCGACGCGGCAGCCACAGCCACGCCGGATGGGGACTCGGGGTCTGCCTTCACCCCAAAGCTGCCTCTGCCCCCCCACCCGTCCGGCGCCCCGCGGCAGCGCACGGTACCTCCAGCTTGTGCGAGACCAAGGAGAGGGCGCCCGGGTCGAGGTTGGAGGCTGCGAAGACCTCGCTGAGCTCTGCCTCCTTCTTCTCCAGGACGCCCAGGAGCCCTTTCAGCTTGCGCTCCAGGAGCAGGTTCTTGAAGCCCGTCTTCTGCTGCACCTCGTTAATGGCTTTGGTGAACTTTTGATAGAGCTCGTCTCGCTCCGCCTGCACCTGCACCCCAAAACAGTGCGTCGTCACGTCGCTCTGGGGACCCCCCGGCAGCAGGACGGGCATGATTTGAGACCTCAGAGAGGGCCCCGCGGCACACGGGGGGTCTCTCCCAGCCTCCTTGCAGCTGGCAGGAGTCCCTGGCTCGCAGCTAGTTAATAAGTGTCCTAATTAGGACACAGTCTCTCCTCCACAACCTATTTCTGAGCGCGCTGAATATGTCGCTGCCTTAATGATGGATTGTTAACGAGGCCTCAGATCAATGTTCATCTTCCCGGGGATTTCTACGAATTGCAAACAAGCCCTGCTCCTGCCTCAACAGATTTATCTGGGTTAGCTGCGGGCGGGGGAGAGGCTGAGCCCGGGAGAACTCAGTCAACAGGACTCATCCCGAGCCCCCCCATTTTTCCCCCAACATGGCAAAAGCAGGGAGCGACCCCCCGAACGCCGGCAGAGGCAGTGAGCTCTGGCTGGGGGTGGAGCCCCCCGGCCCTGCCCCGCAGCCGCCGGTGCCCCCCAGGAAGGGAAGGGACCACCGGAGCGTGAGCGATGGCTTAGCAAAGTCCAAGGCCAGGCTTGTCTGCTGACCGTGGGAGATGCCAAAGCTGGGAGCAGCTTTGCTGGAAGCAGCAGTTATGGCACAGCTCCGGATCAGAGCTTTGGAAAGCCCCCAGCTAAGCCCAGACTCTGCCAAGCCCCCCTGCGCAGTCCTCCGCGGAGGGGACAGGGTTTGGAGAGGGAAAGGGGGTGCCCAGCCCCACCTCCAGCTCTCACCTTACTGAATCTCTGCTCCAGCACTTCATGTTCCCACTGGAGATCCTTCAGTTCTTTCTGGGTGACTTTCAGACGCGCTTTTGTGTTCTGCGAGCAGGAAGGGACAGTTAAAGAGCGTGAGTCTCTCTGGGAGGCGTGGGGGACACGTTCTGGCAAGGGGGGAGAGCGACCAGCGAAGAGACACGGGTGAGAAAAGACAAACAGCACTCACCCAACCCCCCCACTCTGGATTCTCGCTGCCAGAGTCTCATCTGAGATCTTACGATCACACAGTGAAGCTGCAGACTCGAAGGATTTTGCTCAGCGGTTTGGCCAAGCCGAGCGGCAGAGGTTACCACCGAGTGACTCCCTCCAGGAAAGAGCCTGGGCGACTGGGGAAGGGGGAGCGCTGGCCACTCACCGTCAGGGCCTCCCTGTCCTTGTCGGCGTGGGTCAGCTTCTTCTGCAGCTCTGAGACCTGCTCCTGGGCCTGCTGCAGGGGCTCCTTCAGCTGCTTGTTCTGGAGCAGCACCTCCGCCTTCTCCTTTTCCAAGTGAGTTTCCCTCTTCTTCATTTCCTCCGTCTGCTCCTGTTCTTGGGAGGACGAGGAGCAACTCCTGGGGGCTGCTCAGATCCTCCCACACCCTCCAGACACCCCCTGGCTACCGGCCCAGCAAGACACATCGAGAGCTTTGCTGGTGTGACGGTACAACCCTCAGGAGACCAGCAGCATCCACACAGACACCCGGGAACCGGCTGGATTTGGGCGAGATCCTCACAGAACCAGGCAGTACCTTCAGCAAGTTGATGAGCGCCAGGTTTTTGAGGGTGATGTCGTTGTAGTAGTTCTTGATGTCGCTGAAGGCCTTCTCGTGGTTCCTCATCAGCTCATCGATCTGGCTGTTCTTCCTCTCCTCCACCTCGTGGATCTCGGTCTTCCTCCGCAAGTCAAGGTCGTCCCGCAGCGCTTTCATCTTCTTGGTGTACTTGGCCTCGATCTCTGGGGCAGAGCATGGGGGGCTGAGTCAGGACGTCGCGGGGGACCCCTCAGCCAGCGCCGGCCCGGCGCCTGCCACCGCGGCGCCGCTCGAGGACAAGACGCCCGTTAGTGGCGTCACCGCAGCTGCCACCAACACATGGAGCAGCGAGGCCGGGACCACGGGGAGCCCAGAAATAGCATCCTGGGACAGGGGGTGCAGAAACGCTCCGTCAGCCCCCGAGAAGGGGGAGGGGACCCCCAGGAGGATGCTAGAGCGAGGGCTCTGCAAGGGCTCCTCCAGCCAGCAGGCGCTGCGCCCCAGGATGGGGGAAAACGGGGGCAGAACTCGGGGAGGGGGCAAAAAAATGGGAGCAGAATTTGGTGTGGGTGTGTGTGGGGGGTGTGTGCAAAAAGTGGGGGCAGAATTCGGGGGGGGGGAAGAAACGGGGGCAGAACTCAACGGGAAAAACTGAGGCAGAGCTCAGGGAGAAAACAGACAGAACTGAGGGAAAACTGGCCACAATGAGGGAAAAAACGGGCCCCTTTCTGCTGGAGGCTCTGCTAAGGAGCCAGGCAGCGCAGCAGCGCCCAACGGAGCCTTCCCCGCGGCACACTGAGCTCACGCAGGGCCCGCACGAACATCCCAACCTTTCACTTGTCTCTCGAAGTCCTTGCGCAGCCGGGTGATCTCCTGCTCTTGTTCCTGTTCGGGAGCAGCTACGTGTCAGAGGCAGACAGCCCCATCCCGAGGGATTCCCTCCTGCTCCCTGGGAAAGGCTCCAATCCCACGTTATCTCGTGGCTTCTCCAGCTGCTCTCGCAGTGGGAGCTGCCTCAGCAAGTCCCCTCCTCCCCACTCCTGCACTGAATTTCAGGTGCCTCCAAGCCCTCAGTTACTGGTTCCTCTGCAGGGAATCCCCGTCCCAGCCCGCGTGGAGCTGGGGAAGCACCCGGCTCCCGCTCACACGCCGGGGCTGGGAGGGCTCAGCCACGCGTCCCCGGCCCGGCACGTACCAGGCGCGTGTTTTTCACCACCACCTCGCTGGCCAGCTCCTGCTCCTTCAGCTCCACTTTCAGGGAGCGCATCTCCTTCCGCAGATCCATCTCCTGGGCCCAGTGATCCTCCTCGGCCCTCTTCATGGAGAGGGTGCCCTCCGCCTTCAGCTCGGTGAGGTTTTCCTGGTGTTCGTACAACAAGTGCTTCACCTTCTGCTTGTAAACCTGAAGAGAAGCCACAGACGGGTGAGGGGCTTCAACAGGACCGAGACCTGCATCCTGCTCAGCTTCTCCTCCTCTTCCTCTCTCCTCCTCAGAGCTGTCTGAGGCTCTCCCGGAGCTCAGGGCACTCACACCACCCTCCCAGCCTTCTCCTCTCCCACCTTGATCTCCACTTGATGCCGCTCCTCCGCCTCCTCCATCTCCCGGTCCTTGTTCCGCAGCTCTGCCCTCTTCTCCTCCAGCTGCCGCCGGGTGATCTCCCAGAAGGTGTGAATCTTGTCACGCTCTAGCTGGAAATAGTTACGCTCTTCCCGCTCCCGGTCCAGCTCCTCCCGGAGACGCACGATGTGCTTCTCCAGCTGCAAAATCGAGAGGAAGAGTCAGGTAGGGGGAAGAGGAGGCCTCGGACAACCAACACAAGACACCCACGGGAAGCCGTGCCACAAACCTGGCAGGACACAGTGGCTGATACTGGGACAGAGAAGTGCAGGAGCTCTGACACTCCCTGGACCCGACAGAACCCTCAGCCTCTGGAACACAAGTAACAAAGCCTTGTCCTGCTGTAAGCAGCCCGGGCTCAGGTATTGTGTCCAGCAGCACCATTCTCAGGTGCTTAAATACTACTGAACTGTAGAATTGTTTAGGTTGGGAAAGACCCTTATGATCAGTGAGCCCAACTGTTACCCCAGCACTGCCACATCCACCACCACACCACATCCAAACGTCTTTTAAATACCGCAGGGATGGCGACTCAACCCCTTCCCTGGGCAGCTTGTTCCAGCGCTTGACAACCCTTTTGGTGAAGACTTTTTTCCCAATATCCAATCTAAACCTCCCCTGGCACAACCTGAGGCTGTTTCCTCTCATCATTTGTTACCTGGGAGAAGAGACCGACCCCCACTGGCTACACCCTCCTTTCAGGTAGTTGTAGAGAGAGAGAAGGTCTCTCCTGCATGCCCTTTTCTCCAGGTTAATCACCCCAAGTTCCCTCAGCTGCTCCTCACAGAAATCATGCTCCAGACCCTTCACCAGCTTTATCGTCCCTCTCTGGATGCACTCCAGCACCTCATCGTCTTTCTTGTGATACGGAGCCCAAAACTGAACCCAGCGTTCAATCAATTCAAACTATCCCTGCCCTATTCCTGCTGGCCACTCTACTTCTGATACAAGCCAGGATGCTCTTGGCCTTCTTGGCCACCTGGGCACACTGCTTGCACCGAGATGTTCAAGAACTGTATCCCAGGAGCAAGGTCCCCAGGCCAGGGCCATCTCCTCCTCGGTTTGTAGGGCACTTGGAAAACCAAGCGGGACTTGGGAGTGACCGAGGGGCAGCAGCTGCACCTTCCCCTCTGCCTGCCCTCCCCATGCCCCAGCAGCAACGGGACTGAGAGAGCAGCAGGCTGCTGCACTCACGGAGCTCCAGGCTGAGCCGTCAGCCGGCCGAGCAGGCTGCCGGGGTTACAGAGAAGACAGGGAGGGCACAAAGTTGGGGAGCAGAGAGCCCTGGACCAGCAGAAGGAGGGTGTGATGAGGGGGGCTGTGAGAAACACACATCCGCCCCGCCCCCCCACTCAGCTGGGTGTCTGGCAGCAAAATAAACTCCAGCTGCTTGTCTGTCACCCTCTGCCACCTGTTGTCCCCGGAGCCAGGCGCCGAGCAGGGGTCCCATGCGCTGTTCTTGCAAGTAGCCACGTCCTTCTGCCTGGGGG